CTTGCATTATTGGCAGAGCAGACGCTGAATGCGCACTTTCATCTGGTTGGTTTGCCGGCTTCCGTAGCGTCGTGAACGTGCAGGCTCGCGCTTTCCATAGACCTCCATTATTTGAATGTCAGCAGACAGCAAGAAGCCTCCCAGATCTCCAGATGCATTTGAAATATCAAAAAAGTACTCCAGAGTGTTGTTCAGCATGGGGGTGAGTAGAAAATGAAGGCTAATCATGTTTTGGGTGTACTATTCCTTTAATAATCCCAGGGCGAAATTACTTTAGTTACATCACTCCATCTGTAATAGAGTGACTATAGGACCAGTTTGATAGAACACTATTTCAAACAATATATATAATTAGGGGGTCCCTGCTTCATCTCGCCATCAGTTTGGGGGTCCTTAGGCTGGAAAACGTTGAAGACACCTGTTCTAGAAGCAGCATGAAGGCCGTCCTCCTGAACCAGTCTGGTCGTCTCTGATTTAAACCGGTTTACTGAGAACATGTGCAATATAATAAAAGTATATCAGATAGTTTTTTAGATTAATTACAAAAAATACTTTTTTTTTTTAAAATAAATGGTTTTAACAGACATTGAGTCAACTTTCACTGAATGATTCACTTAAACATCTGCTCTGGTTGTCAGGTGTCTGCCTCTCTTTCCCTAGCGGCCTGTGGGGGGGGGGAGGGGGGGGTCGGGGGTCAGAAGCTGCTGATGTTACCTTTACATTAGTGAGGAACATTTTCCTCAACCAATCAGATTAGCCCTACAGGATCAGCTAGAAGCCCCGCCCCTACGTCAGCATTTCCTGTCCTCTGATTAGTCAGTTAGAGCTGAACGTTTAAAGCCAAGTTAAGCTAGAAACAATCTGCATTTTAGATTAGCTTTAGTTCAAAGTGTTTCTGAAACTAAAATGGAGAAACTAAGACTTCCTGCACAAAGAGGGAAGAATCTGTTAGTTCTATCTCTATTCTCCCACTCTGCAGAATCTGTTAGTTCGATCTCTAACGTTCTGCTCTATCTGCTTTTTCTCATAGTAGCTTCATCTGGTTGGCCTGTTTTAACAACAATCACAAATTCATCATCATGTTAGCCCCGCCCCCATGACAGTTGTATAAATTCAGAGTTTGCTACATCCCGTAAATTTAAATTAAAACAATTTTTGAATCTTTTCCTGCTTTAATAAGCTGATAGTCACCTTGAAGATGTATTAGCCATTTATTGAAGTGGGGCACTTGTGGGCTTCCGTACCATCCTGGGCTCAGGGTTTTATCTTTTCCATCTGGGAATCAAACTCAGGAAATGGGAACTTTTTCTCAACTATTTATTTTCAGTACTCAGCAGTAAGGGTTATAGTATATGGACAAGTTCTCTGTTAAGAAATGAATTATCAAAACATAGTTTATAAAAGTGTATAGTAAGCATTACATCATATATAGGCATGAAAACAAAAAGTTAGAGCATCAAACGGACGATTACAGCTGCTCCCAACTTTCTTCTCTAAATCTACTGAAATGCAGGCAGGAAGTGTCGGAGGAGGACAGACGGGGGGTGGGGGGTGGTACTTCTGTGTTCTAGATCACATGGACTCCTACAGCACTTGACGGTCACTGCACGGCTTTCACTTTATTTTTTTAAACTAGCACCGGAGCTCCTGGACACGCTGACAGACACACACAGGCTTCCAACAGTTAAATAAGGGAACGGGAAAGAAACACCAATAAATACAGGAAGTGGGACAGAACCGGGACGTCCTGCCGACTGGGTCGGGAAGTCCGTAAGGAAGCAGAGAGTCTGCAGGACGTCCCGGGGAGAAGAAGGCGGGATCCGGATGAGTCCATCAGCTCCCAGAGGAGCGGGCTTTATATCCGCACGGCTCTACGGTCACATCCTAAACACTACGGCGGTCCAATTACTAAACCCGTCCTAAACCATACTGCGACTTAATAATCCACAATCGGATTCATATAAATAAACACCATCTGCTTCCTTCTTACAAAACTGCAAATATACAACAAGTAGGACACAGGGGGGGGTCCACCGGCGTCAGGCAGCCGCATCGGGACCAGATCCAGCATCAGACTGGGATCAGTGTCGGTTTGAAGCGCCACAGCTGGGCCAGAAATGTCCCGTTCACACACATGGACTCATCCAGGAGCTAAAGGAGCCGCTCCGTTTCTTAACAGGGTAACTCGGCTCGGTTCTAATGAGGTTCATCGGTTCATTAAGGTCCAAAACATTCCTGTCTGCTGCCATCAGGTGGCGCTGTGGGCCGTATAAAGCACAGCAGGGACGCTAAATTCCGATTTTATTTTTGTGAAACCCGTTTTTTTTTGACGTTGCCGTTCATAGTTCTAGTATTATTGGATTGTTAATGGAACCGTCAGGTGACCCGCTGGTTCTGGGCTCAGAAACATTCAATCAATCAAATATTGATGGAAGATCCAGAGTCTGGGTTCAGAGGGACCAAACAGAAAGCCCTCTGGGTCAGAGGTCACCTGATGAAGATGTCAGGTTCTGCAGAGATGTTTGGAACCAGATGATCCAGATCGTTTTGAAAACAGAAAACGTTAATTAACTCTTTAAATTCTAGTTTTGGATAGAAAGATCCGGAAACATCCACTGAAAGCATAAGACGACTTTAACCCTGAGAGAACGGATAGGGGGGAAATGTTTCTTCTTTAACCTCCAAGCAGAGGCCTAAAGGTTAAAGGTCAAAGACGCATTGATGCTGGTCCAGAGCGTCTTCATGTGGCGCCGCTAGTGGGCTACGCCCGAAATCACACATCCTCCGCCCGCTCCGTTCCAAACCACCCGCACAGAGCAAAGCCTCCATGGGTCCATCTTGCTCCAATCCGACCTCCTTGGAATTTGAAGACAGTTCGCAATATTATTTAATTCATAGGAGCAAAAAAAATGCGTTAACGAATGCTTAATTCATTACGACATGATGAAAAGTCACCATGAGCAACGATCTCTGCTTCTGGAAGGTAGAAGTACCGATAGTTTGCATCCAACAATTTAATTAAAAGCTTTTGGTTTTGGGGAATATATAAGAAATATGCTCTAAATTGTAGTTACCGATCTGTCGTTACCATATTTTACTTTGACAAACTGGATCGTCCGTCTTGATGTTTTTTCCTGTTTGGTGCGATTGCAGCGGTAACGAACCGGAACTGAAAATAGCTCGGCTGAGAATTTAGACGGTGAAGAATAGAGAAAACGTATGTGGGCGATGGCGTGCGGAGGAGTAGTCGTGGATGTGGAACAGCTGTCGTTGATTAACATGACAGAGCGGTTCTCCGCAGGACGTACCCGAGCGGAGACGGAGGATGAGGAATCTGGAAATAGGTCATTTTTAAAAGACTGAGAAGATGAAGCTCAGAGGACTGCGGACCAGTTAGTTATTTCTTAACTTAGCTTGGCGTCTGCAGTTTATCTTGATCCATGTCATTGTTTAGCAGCAGCGGCCATTCAAAATATCCCCTCATTCCTTGATGGGTCCTTGGTTGGTCCCCTGTGGTTCCTTTTTAAACCTCAATCTTTGTTCTATAATATTCTGTCATGATTTGTGGACATTAGGATCTAAAGAGAAGCGCCATCTGCTGGTCAGACCCTGTAAATCAGTGAAAGGGTGGAGTCAGGGTAAAAAGTTGGCTGCCGTCCTTTGGACTGAGAAAGGCCTTTTTGAAAAGCTGCTACTGTATGTTTTAAATAAAGTTAATTAAAAATGATTTAGAGGCCTGAAAAAAGCTGTCTGAATGGAAGCCAGTTCTGTTAAATGTGTCTTTATATCTGTAAACATGATGAATTATTAAAGCGTTTCTGCAGTTGGGAGCCTTTTAGTGCCGATCTAACCAACGGAGTTTATTTTAATCCTTTAATGTCAGCTGTCAATCAGATGCTAGCTTCTGCACTGTATAACCAACCAGTGGGACCTCGGGCTTTTCTTCTTCCTTTTGCAGCCCTAAACGTTGCCATGGCAACAACATAAAGGAGGAGCAACAATCCAACAGCTCAGCAGCCCTGAATCTGGTCCCTGAGGTCTCTGAGCACCGCAGCTGCCAGACGATAACCGAGCTAAATTTTGGCCATAAAGTTTATAAAAAATTTTAAAAAAAAGGTAAGAAATCCTTTGAAACTAGAAAAACACTAAGAGAGCAGACCTATAACTAAAACACACACGATCTGGATCATCACCAAAATAAGAAATGGATTAAAATCCCTCCTTAAATTTTCCTTTTCCTTGGTTTAAGCCGGTTTGTTGGAAGCATCTTGCTAACCAGTTAGCAACTTAGTGCTAGCAGGTTCCCAATGGGAAATTCCATTGGGACCAAGTAGCACTAAATTGGTGACTTAGAAACGACGCTGTCAAGGAACGCTATGGACAGAGGAAACATGCAAGAGGAGGAGAGTTTAGTGTCGGAGGTCGTGGATGAGTCTCCTCCGTCATCCATTTTTTATTTAGAGGAGGAAAGCGGGGACGAAGATGTTGTGGAAGAGGACACCAGGGCGGCAGAAGCTTGGTTTGGTGTAGAAGGCTTCCAGCCGTACATGTTTGAGCCCTTGCCTCGCAACGCTGCCAGTTCTGTTAGCTCTACGCCTGCTGAAGACACAGACGTCCATCCCCGTGGACACTGGGACGCAACTCAATGGGAAAGGAAAGGATTCTGATTTCAACCGTTGCGTATATTAGCTGCGACCCTACAGATTTTAAGGCAGGAGAACAAACTTCTAACTCACCTGCAGTTATGATGTCGTTTGCCTTAACGTGTCGCTGTGACAAAGGTATGAAAATGAAAAACAAATCTAATCTGACCCAAATAAAAAAACGGGAAAAAGATTTGAAATGAAGGAAACTACTTTTCAGAATCAAGCTCTCTATATCATCTAAGCCCCGCCCACACACAGCAGTTCAAAACTGAAAATAAAAAACTTAATTAGAAAAAAAAAAAATCGGAAAAAAGATTAAATCATTTTTTCAAATCTTTTTTTCTTTATAATTTTGTTTAAGCAAACTTTATGGCCCTAATTTGGTTCCACAGATGGTCCATCGACGTCTTTCTGAACCCAGAACCGGTCAGAACTTCCAGCTCCTTCATAAACACCAAACCGTTCCCTAAAGATTTTCCTCCAGAACCTTTTAACTAACTTTGAGGGTTCGGAAAGTTTAAATTTTTCTGCGCTTTACTCTTTGCGTCCTGCAGGATGAACCGAACACTCGCTTCACAGTACGGGATATAAAAACACATCTATGGTTTGATCAAAGCCGTGTTAGAACAGGCGCATTACCATGGAAACACAGCTGTTACGCTCTGGGTCCATGTGTGTGAATCAAAGAACAGGATCTGGTTTTTCCGCTGCAGCAAATACGCGTCTAAAGTCTGATAATTCCCATGAGTCATTGCTGCCCGGCGGTGTGGGCGAAGGTCCAACAGCTGAGCTCCACTCGTGCTACATCTCAGAAAGAGGCGGCTTTAAAACTCTGACAAAAGGCCACCAGAGGAACCAGCAGCGACCCGACGACCCCGAGTCCAGGTCGGTTCGGATGCTGTAGCTGTAGGCGGGGGGGCAACATGCAGCGGGGTGAGGGGGGGGCTGTGAACAATCTGTGTGTTCGTCTGTCCTCACACAACCAGGAGGAGGAAGTAGGCTACGCTTTGGCATCGCCAGACCCCACAGCCGGGTCCCCTCAGCCTAAACAAAAGGTCCGCCGGGCATGCCCAGATAGTTGGGCAAAGCCACGGCCGGCGGGGGCGGCGTGCTGCTGCTCCAGTGCACCTTCATGTGGTGCCGCAGGTTGGACTTTGAGGAGAAGCGCTTGTCGCACTGCTGGCAGGAAAAGGGCTTCTCCTTGGTGTGGATCCGGCGGTGGCAGATGAGCTGCGTGGAAACCCGGAACGACTTCCCGCAGTCGGGGCACTGGTAGCGCTTGGGCTCGGTGTGAATGCGCCGGTGGTTTTTCAGAGACATGAGGTTGGGGAACTCCTTCTGGCAGGAGGAGCAGAAGAAGGTCCCGGTCTTGTGGCTGTTCTTGTGGTTCAGCAAAGAGCTAGCGTGGCGGTACGAGCGTCCACACTGGTTGCAGACGTGAGGCTTGGTGACCTCATCGCTGCCCTCTCCGCCACGGGGTTTGGCCAGGCTGGTGGGATCCAGTCCTTGTTCCTGCATGAGGGTGTGGTCGAGGCCCGACCCCCAGCCCAGCTCCTGGGAGCTCCCCGGCCGGTGCTGCTGGGGTCTGGGCTGGCGGGGCTGCGGCACCTCTCCGTGGGTGATCTCCATGTGGAGCCTGAAACTGGCCTGCGTAGGAAAGGCCCTCTGGCAGGACCGGCAGGTCAGCTCCCGCTGCTTCTGGTGGACGCGCCGGTGGTTATACAGCTGGGAGGAGACGCGGAACGCCTTCCCGCAGTCGTGGCAACGGTGGCGGCGGGTCTCGGAGTGGATGCGGCGGTGGTTCTTGAGGGCGAGCAGGTTGTTGTAGGTCTTGAGGCACACGGCGCAGTGGTAGATGCCAACAGTATGGGTGTTCTTGTGGTTGAGAAGGGAGCTGGCATGGCGGTAGGAGCGGCCACACTGATCACATCTGTGCAGAGACAAACGGTAAGGGGGAGCATGGGGGAGCAGAGGGGGGAGACGGGGGGAGCACGGGGGAGACGGGAAAGAAAAGCATAGATTAGTGATGGGATGCAGCTACAGAACGTTGCTGTAACATCTTGATAAAGTTCACATACAGGTATATGATCTGAAATCCGGCTCAGAGCTTTCTACAAACTGGTTCACCAGCTAACGTTTCTACACAGGTCACTGGGGGACTGCTGGGTGTTACGGATGAAAGAGGGGGGGAGGGGGTGGACATACAGGTGGAAGGAAAGGGCGAAGTATCTGCTGCTTCCTGCACTGCACACACAGCTTGTTTAGGCGGGATCTAAAATGATGCACTGAGCGAGTCTGCAGTGTGTGGGGGGCGGGACAGTCGATGCTACGCTAGGTCTGCGGCGGACATGTGCAGTGCAGCTAGCCCCAAATACTCTCTGCTCTTCCCAAACAAACATGAGGTTGCAGCAGCCTCGTCCTGCTCTGTTCGGCGGCCATCAGATCAGACACAATCAGAGGAACACACACAAAGCTTCAGTCAGAGGAGAGAACAGCATGTAAACAACATCTGAAAATGACATGATTGGTTAAAGGCAGCCTACAAACTACAGTGTGTGATATATGCTAACTGAAAGCAAACGGGGATGACTTATCTGGTCTCTAATTCAATCTGTCCAAACTTCTGAAAAATCCGAATTCCGGCACGCGTATGGTCCCAAGGAAGCCGGATTGGAGATCATATACCTGTAATAGACACGCAGACACCTAAATTTATCCGCACTACTAGTTCTTTTTTTTCCAACTTCGAAGAATCACAAACAACTGACGGGAACTCACGTGTACCGACACTCTTCTCCTTCTCCTGGGGCTGCAGCGGCCTTCCTCCTGACCTCCATGCCTACCTGGTTGTCCCCGCAGCGGTGCCGGGCCAGACCGGACCTCCCCTGGAAACTCTTCCCGCAGCTGGGGCAGCCAAACGGGGTGGCGCCCTCTTCGTGCACCTTCTGGTGGTTACGAAGGAACCTGGCCAGTCGGAAAGCTTTCCCACACGTGTGGCAGATGTGTTTCTTGCGTTGCGTGTGGATGCGCATGTGATTGCGCAAGGCCATGTAGTTCGTGTAGGGCTTGTCACAGAAGTTGCAGCGAAAGTTGCCCGTCTTGTGGGTGTGCTTGTGGTTGAGCAGCGAACTGGCGTGTTTGTACGTGCAGCTGCACAGGTCGCAGGCGTACGGCCGCTCATCCGAGTCCATGTCCACCGAGTTCCTTTCCATGCTAACATTGGCCGAGCTGCTGGTGGAGGAAGACGAAGGAAGGTGCTGGGCTGGACAGTCGTGAGCCGAGAGCTCGTCGGCCGTGGCGAAGCCTTCGCAGCAGCCGTCGCACTCAAAGTCCATTTGGACCCCGGGGCCCTGTGGTCCTTTGCACAAGCCTGCTGTAGTGTGTGTGGCGAGCTGCCGCTGCGTGCGAAACCCTTTGCCACACTCCTGGCAGTTGTGCTTCTTCTGGGCAAAGTGGAGGCGCAGGTGGTTCTTCATGGCCAGCCGGTTGGGGTAAGTGGAGTTGCAAACATTGCAGTGGTACTCCCCAATCTTATGAAGGTTCTTGTGATTGGCCAAGCTGCCAGCATGGCGGTACGTCTTTCCACATTCCTCACAGGCGAATGGTCTTCGCCCGCTTTCAGCAGGGTCAAACTTCTGCGGCCTGGAGGTGCCGGCTGACGAGTAGGGCTTCTTAAAGCCTTGATGGCTGTACTTGACCCCCCCCATGGCAGGGCCCTTTGAGGACTCGGCTCTCATCGCCTGCATTTGAGATGGGCCAGGCTGCTGGAAGCGGGAGCCGTTGGGTCCGGTCCGGACAAGACCTTTAGCCCGGTGCTCCTCATGGAGACGGAGGTGGTTGATGAGCTGCTTTTGAATCTTGAAGGCTTTGCCACATTCCTCACACTTGTGCCTAGAGCAGGGAGGAGACCAGGTGAAGGAGACGCATAACAACCACAACATTCCAACAAGCATAGAAACATGGCTCACATAGTTTCTTAGACTTAGGGATAAAAAAAATGTGGCTCAGAATTTTCTGCAAGGAACCCAAGTCAAGGAACAACAATAGATCCAACAATGGATCCTCAGAGATCCATTGTTGGATCCGTTTTTTTTTTTTTTAAGCAATCTTAATGAACCACCTTTTTCATATCCTTAAGAACTGCGATACATATTCAGTTCCTGTATCTCTCCAGCTAAACTAACCCAAATGATAAAACTGTGGAACCAATATTCTCAATAAAACCCTCAATGAACAATGATTTGATAAGTTGGTGAAGATTCTCAGTCCTGCAGGTCATTGTCATAACCAGTGTTGTGCCTGAACGCGTTCATTGAACGAAAGTTCATGAACTCGTTCATATTTTGGGCGAACGTGAACTGAACGTACTGCATTACCGCCTGATGAACGTTATTGTGAACTCGTTCATTCTGGTGTCTGTGAACGGCTCGCTCTCTCAGTTCAACTCCGTTTAATAGGTTGCCAGATTTCTATAGAGCCCTCCAGGCGAAACCCCGGCTAAATCACACCGTAAACAGGCCTTAATATGTAGCGGGAAAAACACCCAATCTGGCAACAGCAGCTACCAGCGTCATAGCGTGTGTCATCAAAACAAAATGCAGCGTTAAAGCTGCAGCAGCATGGAGGCGACCGTTGAGGCGACAAAGCAGCAGTATAATCACTTAAAACAGGTTTATGACCAGGTGGTCGGTGAGGATGATGGCAACAAGTTTGCCCGCCGGCTTTCAGTAAAAAAATCCGCACTTCAGTAACCTTAAATTCCTACCTCAGCCTGGTCCCTCAGTTTGTGTTAGTAAAATCTTCTTGAGCGGAGGTCTTTAACAGGGGATCCGCGACCCCTAGGGGGTCTACGGAGGTACTGCATGAGGGTCATGGTTAGTTGATATTTTTATAGTCCCCCCCTGCAATTTTTTTTCCCACTAATTTAAATGTCTTTAAATAATCATTAACATGAAATCAACACACTGTAGTAAACAGATAAATGGAGGCAGAAGATGTCTTTCAGTCATCAATGCTCCCATTCAGCGACACACAGGAGCTCTTTCAAGCTGGGCACCGTTTCCTTCACAACACCTGTCCCATCAACCAGGAATCAGAATCAGAAAAACTTTAATAATCCCAGGGAGAAGTTAATTTCTTTACATTACTCCACCTGTAATAGAGTGACTATAGGACACAATTTCATACAATATATATAGTTAGGGGGTCCCCGCTCCATCTCGCCATCAGTTTGGGGGTCCTTGGTCTGGAAAACATAGAAGACCCCTGTTCTTGAGGGTTTTACTATCCATGTAACTTGTTTGTTAAACCTGCCTGGTATAATTTTCCAGGATTCCAGTATTCCTTTTTAGTATGTATTGAAATGGAATTTCAAATGGAAAAAATTATTAAAATAAAAAAAAAACATTTGCACCTTAAAGACTACTTTCCTATTTTTCTTTTAATAATTACTCATAAAAAAGACCATTCAAGCAGCACATTTTTCCTGATGTTTTTGAGAATATACTGTAGGGGTGAAAGCTGCAGCTGCTACTAGTGTGAAGTGAATGGACAGCAACAAAGCATTAAAGCAACAATGGGGAAATCTGTCCCCTCAATGCTAATGTAAACCCTGGTTGGATAAGGATTCAAAACTGCATATGAAGATGAAATCTGACGCACAGTTTCAGTGTTACAACTGATAAAATAATTGCTGTCTGTGGTTCTACAGTAGGCTATGGTGTAATTGAGCAATATATGAAAAAAAAAGAACTATGAACTAGTTCATTTTTTGGAATTATGAACTGAACTAGTTCATTTTAAAATGTGTGAACTGAACTTTGAACTAGTTCACGTAGAAAGAGAACTTTCCCAACACTGGTCATAACCTGGATGGGACATTTTGAATTGACAAAGCTTCCTGGATGGGAATAAAAATGTTTTCAAACTTGGAAACAAAGTCCAGAGGATTGTTTTTTAACTTTTTTGGAATGACTTGATACAGGGATGCATTCACTGTTTGCTGGAAAAGGCAGGAATCAAAAGTCTTATTTCTACTTCGTGGTCCGGTCCAAGAGACCACAGTTTGGAAGTGTTGATTCGGTGCTCTGTCAGATGAGCATACCCCGTCAGACCAGCATACGGATAGTAAGCACACATGCAAGACGTCAGAATTGCGAAAAATACACTTTAAACTACGTCAACGGGCGTGTATCCCTTTAGCTATGTACAAAAAACTATTTAAAGCCAGCTCGCCATACGCTTCAAAAAACACATAATACTAAGTAGTAAAATTTTTTGTACATGACGAAAGGTTGAGGTAGTTTTAAGTTTATTTTTCGTACAAAACTAAAGGGATAAACGAGTATTGACTACGGGTATGCTCATCTGACAGAACACCGGCCAGTTCAAGAGAGTGCTATGACCACTAGTCTCTCTCTGCTAGAGATATTCGAGGATTAAACCAATACCATTGCCTTGCTTCCAGCCGTAGGATGGCATACTACAGTCCACCACTCAATAACGGCACTACTCTCACCCTAACAAAACTGAATCATCATTATATAGAGCTACGTCATAGTTATGACCTTAAACTATCTGCTTTGGTAGAGTGGGCCAGCTGAATAAAGCAGACATGTTTTGTCAGACTGGACCAAAGCGCGGTGTGCCACTCAGTGGAAAACAGGCTTAACAGACTTCCTACCAATACATGGAGACTGTTGATGAGAACCTGTTTACTCAAGAAACATTATTTAAACGTAAGACCAAATAATCAATGAGGACCTAATCTTTATTGTTCTAGCAACAAAATCTTTCCCAAGTGGAAAACAAACAAGCTAAAGTTACAGGGTTACAGTCTTTATTGCTCAAGCGAACGACAACAGACCACATCAAACTAGCCTAAGCTAGACTATTACAGGCAAAGAAAAAACATTCACGCCTGGAACAACTACGGCCGTTTAGAAGCCCAAAGCCTACCCTAGTGTGGCTGTTTGGAACGGCTGAAAGAAACAGGTCCTCGGTATAAAAACAATATGGCAGGTGGAACTGGGTTTTCCACGCTGCATCTGAATGAAGGACAACACTAGTGGAACAACATCAAAACTGAAAGTTGGTCCAAGATAAGGAGGAGGCATGCTTTTAAAGAAAGCTGAGACAATCATTCAGTCCACAGGTATCAAACATCGGTCCTCGAGGAACGCTTTCCTGCACCATGAGATGCATCTCTCCTTCAACACATCTGAATTAAATAATCAGGTCGTTAACAGGACCAGGAAGAACTCCACTGCAACCAAGGAGGCAATCAGCCCCTGGATTCAGGCGTGTTGTACCAGGAAAGCCAGCCCTCTGGGACTGGAGTCAGAACTTCATTCCTAGGGGACCAGTTTGAAGGACATGGAGCCAAATCATGCGACACCTATGACTCCTTCTCCTTGGACAGCAAAACAAACCTTTGGTACAAAGAAAACGACCTTTTCTCCAGATGACATTGGCAACACCAAAAAATGGTAACTGTGTGCTCAGCGTATGGGTGTACGAACCAACCAGGAAGGAAGGACAGCACCTTGTTTTATTGCTTCCCTAAAAACCCTGAAATACGAGCGAGATGTTTGCTGCTGTGAAGAGACAGAACTATAACTAGCAGAATTTGTAGCGATCACTTCTACTTAAAGTCATTGGGAAATCATATTTAAATGTCAAATCATTCTGGCTTAAACATTTATATAAATGTTATCTTTATCAGATCATATTGTCCCAAAATTTAGAAAATTTCTACCAAAAAAAAAAACAAATCCTGTCTTAAAATCTGTGTTGGTTTTTTTTCCATTATCTTCTGCAGGTCAGTTAGTTCTACGTCAGCCTGAACACCTAAATTCAGCCAATCATATATCAACGGTCACCTGTCCATCAAATATTTTCGGTCATATCATCTTGATTCATATGTCGCAGCTAATATACGCAACGGTTGAAATCAGAATCCTTTCCTTTCCCATTGAGTTGCGTCCCAGTGTTCACGGGGATGGACATCTGTGTCTTCAGCAGGCGTAGAGCTAACAGAACTGGCAGCGTTGCGAGGCAAGGGCTCAAACATGTACGGCTGGAAGCCTTCTACACCAAACCAAGCTTCTGCCGCCCTGGCGTCCTCTTCCACAACATCTTCGTCCCCGCTTTCCTCCTCTAAATAAAAAATGGATGACGGAGGAGACTCATCCCTGACCTCCGACACTAAACTCTCCTCCTCTTGCATGTTTCCGCTGTCCATCGCGTTCCTTGACAGCGTAGTTTCTAAGGCACCAATTTAGTGCTACTTGGTCCCAATGGAATTTCCCATTGGGAACCTGCTAGCACTAAGATGCTAACTGGTTAGCAAGATTCTTCCGACAAACCGGCAACAACCAAACTTGCTTGCGAACCTTTCGCCAGAACAATCCCGCCCCCTTGATAATCGACCAATCACATTCACTTTATTCACTCGTGTAAAGCCGGTCACCACTCGGGAGAATTCAGAAATGCAACAATTGGAACAGCCACTCCCCTACGACTTTAAACAGTTGGTGACGCTGAAATTACTATTGTAGAGGTTTTTTCATTTAGACAGATGTAGAAAGTACCTGTGGCGCTAGTTAGTTTAATCTTTTAGCAGGCATGCAGGGTTTCCCCCAGCGTATTACAAGCATGGCCGTCTATCTTTGTATTATAAATGCATCGATGTTTGAAAGCAACATAAAACAGAGGGTAAGGTCCCACTCCCAGAGAAAACCTCCTGGTCTGAAGAGATAAGATGCTAGCTGTTAGTATAGCTCAGTGCACAGTATAGGTGCATGTATTCTCCTGCAGCGTGTGTCGCAGTTAGCTTGTCGCAGGTATGATGCAGATATTTGTGATTTATGCCCAATTTTTAAGCATGGTCTGCGCTATGTTATTCCACGCCACAACGCCAGAGGGCCAATCAGCAACTAGCTAGGACTGTGGGTGTCCGTGTCGGTTTGACGAGCTGGTTCGCTGTCTACAACCCCTCATCCAAAGCTGGACGACACACAGTTCACCCGAGTGTTCCACAAAGACTGGCTGTGGTCCTGCAGCGCATCTAGAGCAGCTGAAGCAGCGCCTCATTAGCTTCTGAAGCGCGTGACACGCTTCACAAGTTGCTTGCTGCTGGACGCACCTCATCAACCAATCAGAGAAGCTGATCTGGGAGCTGGCAGGGAGTCAGACACAGCACTGCTGATGCAGAGCGCTATGATCACTCCTCTGAAACAGTTTATTAACACCTAAATTAACTTCAAATGTAGAAACCTGCCGGCAGAATATGTTGGCTTTTCTTATCCTGCTGCCTGCAGTTTGTAGCACAGACCTGAAAAACGCTAACATCTACTTCCAGCCGCCACCAACAGTAGGGGAAAACCCCCAAGAGGCGAGCGGGCCTGAGGCAGCTGCTGCTGGGGATTCCCAGTGACAGCGCAGCGCCGGAATGTGGGGGTCTGAGCGGCTCCCACAGAGAAATAATCTTTGAAGGCAGGATGTTAATCTGGATGAACTGACTGCACAGACCATGTTTTCAGGAGGACCTCTCTCACTTCAACATAGATTCTAACTACTTTTTACCCGCTGATCACAGCTAATATAGCAAAGCTGCTCTCTGGCATCGAACACAGGAGCAGCAGAAGCATCTGGACTCACTTTACTGGACGGCTGACCTTAATGAGGATCAGAGATGAAGCAGCAGAAGCTTCTTTGCCACTCAAATTGCGTTAGGTGTGAACGTAGCATTAATCTTTCACAAACAAAAAGCCAGAGTTGTATAATGATCAGATATAGTAACAGTTCTAAGCGGAAAAAATGGCCACCATCAGTCCAGTAGTGTTTTCACTAGGACACACCAGGCTGAGCTGAAACTCAAAGCAACAGAGAGGCCACCAGGATCTGGGTCTGAAACTTTATGGTAACTTTCTTGCAGGCATTGATCCGTGTGCTAGCTGCAACTTTTTCCCCTTCTATGTATGAAGCAAACTAGGACTGAAAGTCGTAGGGAAGCGAATCAAGATGCTATGACCAAAAACATTTGATTGACAGTTGATGTATGATTGGCTGAATTTAGGTGTTCAGGCTGACGTAGAACTAACTGGCCTGCATAAAATAACGGGGGGGGGGACTGATTTTAAGACAGGATGCAATGGTTGAAATAAGAATCTTCGAAGAGTAGCGGTGACCGTTAGAGGAGTATAGTTGGAGAGCGAATTGTTGGCCATTTGTCAATTCACAAGAACACGAGTATGGACTTGTGTCCTCGCCAAGTATGTTTTTGAGGAGAACTCAGGAAGGTCTGGACTTGGGAAGCACAAATCAAATGAACATTTTAAAATTAAAACAATCAAACCTCCATCAGAGCCAGCGGTACTTCACAGAAGGCTATGCAGAGAGAGGGCTGCTGCAGACGGGCTAACGTTAGCCCTGGCTGCTGCAGACGGGCTAACGTTAGCCCTGGCTGCCGTTAGCCTTGGAGGTCCGCTGGTTGCTACAGTCCTCTCAACTTTGGAACATTTTTTTTTGCGCATTAAATCGGTAAACAGGCCATATAGTGAAGATTAAAGTATAATGTTCTTGCTTTAAATTATCTTAACGTACTTTTATTGAACAACAGCAACAGAAAAGAGATGTGAATACTCTGAGCTCAGTGAGAGCTCCATTGAAAGGAGACGGAGGAGACTCATCCACGACCTCCGACACTAAACTCTCCTCCTCTTGCATGTTTCCGCTGTCCATAGCGTTCCTTGACAGCGTCGTTTCTAAGTCACCAATTTAGTGCTACTTGGTCCCAATGGAATTTCCCATTGGGAACCTGCTAGCACTAAGTTGCTAACTGGTTAGCAAGATGCTTCGAAGAAACCGGTTGCAACCAAACTTGCTTGCGAACCTTCCACCAAAACAATCCCGCCCCCTTGATAAACGACCAATCACATTCACTTTTCATTCTTTTCACGGTTGGAACAGCCGCTTCCCTACGACTTTAAACTAAAATTAAGTGATTTGAAAGAGATTTGAAAATGGAGTTTTGTTATGTTGTAATTATACTGCAAATGCAATGAATTACCCAGGTCTAGATCCAAGGCCAATGGCTTGGCCTGGATGAATGGATCCAAGGTTTGTTGCAACAACAACAAGACACTCAATATGCAGTCCCTGATATCAAGGGGGCGATAGAGACCTTCTCACCTCCCTGCTCCCTTTACCAAACCGCTTGGGCAAACCCGCTAAACTCGTCACATAAATTGGGCACATGCCGGTGATTTCATGACGATGTCCCTCCTTATCAACCTACTGTTCCCTTGCCAAGTTTATCTCCTCTGCCCTAGATTATTAAATCCCACCCGCCTTGTCCAGGGACTTGTTGAGGCTCCATGTCAGGATGGACATGGGGGTTTGCTCGTTAAAACTGACGTACTTTCAACACTTTTGAAAAACAGTGTTGAGTCTTTGAGAACAGAAAACCCAAAACTAACTTGGAAAATTCTCAATGTGAATAAACCGAAGCGTTTTATCACATGTAAAAGTGAACCAAAGCGTACCTCTTCAGGTCAAAGTGGGTCCTTTGGTGATTCTTTAGAGCCAGCAGGTTGTAGTAGCGCTTTTGGCAAACCAAGCAGCGAAAAACTCCAGTCTTATGGGACTTTTTGTGGTTGAGGAGCGAGCAGGGGTGTCTGTATCCTCGCCCACACTGGTCACATTTGTGGGGCTTGTCGCTTTGATCGACCATCGGCCTGCGGCCATCACCGCTGCTTCCAGCCACGCCGTCACCTCCAGACATCCCTTTGCCACCATTAAGGCCAGGCTTGTTCATTGCTCGGTTCTTACCGGGACATAAGTGAGTGACCAGATGGTGCTGGTCGGCAAAAAACATGCCACAGTCCACACAAATGTGGTTGCGTCCATCCATCTTATCGCCGCCATTGGCTGAGCTGCTGGTGATACCCTGCTGCTGGTTGTCTGGCCTCTGGGGGCCGTGGATCAGCTGATGATTCAGAAGGTCCTGCTTCCTGGAGAAGCTCTGGCCACAGGTTGAGCAGATCATCCTCCAGTCCTGATCTAGATTTGATGGTACTGCCCCAACGGGGTTATTGGCGTGGCTGCGTAGGTGGCTTCTGAGAGCTCTGAGGCTGGCATAGTGATTGCCGCAAACAGAGCATTGATACACCTCTCCATCATCGTCATCTTCTTTATCGTTGCTGCCCATCCTCTTCCCTCCGCTCTGGGAGTAGGGTCTCTGGCTGCCTTCTTTAATGCTGCTGGAGCTCCCCGAGGGCATCGACGTCCCGGTGGAGCTGTGGTAGTTCATGGTCCCCATGAAGCCGTTTGCCATGTTGCTTTGCTGCTGTGGCGGTGGCTGCTGCTGCTGCCCGCGGCGAGGACACATGTGCGACTTGATGCCCGAAACATCCCCGTACATCTCACCGCAGTCGGCACAAACGTGTCTGTCTGCCTGGCGGTGAGTAGAGCTGCTCTGGGAAAGCGAGCTGCCATCAAAGCGATCGTGGAAATCTAGGGAGTCCAACCCACTGCTGTGGCCGCCGTCTGGCACAAAGTGGGCGGAGTCCGCAAGGTTTCCAGGAAGTGAGATGGGCGTGTTTGTGGTGTTACCCTCCTGGACATAGCTCTGCTGGGAGTCCAAAGTGAGCGGCTCAGGAGAAAGCCAATCGCTGCTGTCGTTGTTGATTGGTGGGTTGGAGGGGCGGGCCTTGTGGCTTCGCAGGTGGCTGTGTAGTGCTGCCAGGTGGGGGTACTGCTTACAGCAGATGGTGCACTGGTAGTGGCCAGTCTGGTGGCACCGTTTGTGGTTCACCAGGCTCCCTGCATGTCGATAACTTTTGCCACATTCTCCACACTTAAAGCGGCGCTCTTCATCATCTGGAGAACTGGCCTGAGGCACGCGGCCGCCAGAGGGGGAGGCCACCGAGCCCTGAGAACCAGAGCTGAGAGTGTCTGAGTTTAGTATGGAGCTGTCCTGACTGTGGGAGGGCGGGTGAGGATCATGAGTCAGATAATGAACTTTTAAAGTCTCAAGGTCAGGGTGCCCCGCCCCACAGTATGCACATGTGTAAATGGGATTGTTGACTGGAGGGCCCATGATTGGATCGTACGGGCCCCTTTTATCTGCGGGAAGAGGGGGCAAGGGCAATGGGTCCCCGAGGGCCGGGGTGTATGCAGGGGACCGAACGGCGCTCAGGTTGTGCGGCATGATGCCAGGGAAGCTGCGCGTCAGTCCCAGCGAAGGCGAGGCCGTGTTGTGCAGCAGAATGTGCTCCTGGAAATCGCTCTTGTTCGGAAGCGCTATCTGACACAGGTGGCAGAAACAGGAGGCGGATTCGTCGTTCTGAGATGACTGCGAACCGGCGCTGCGCTCCGAATCATGGAGGCTGCTGCCGGTCCCGCCGCTTACCATGGTGGCACCCGGCGTCTTGAACTTTGAGTGAGTTCTCTCGTGGCCGTTTAGCGCAGCCAGGTTGCTGAACTGTTTAAAACACACAGAACACTTAAAAGTTCCTTGTTGGTGACACTTCTTGTGATTCACCAAACTACCGTGATGCCGATAGGTTCGGTCGCACTGGTCACACTTGAACGGTCTGTCCCAGGCGTCGTCGGATTCAGGGGAGCCTTTTTTCCCGTGGTCGTCTGTGTCCTGGCCAGGCAGGATGCTATGTCCCATACCACTGTTGTTTAAATGGGAACGGCCAAATCCATCCGCGAGGTCCTGGGTGAGGCCGAAGTTCCTCTCGTCGTGGCCCCCCTCCTCAGGGGCCTCCTCGTTCTCCTCCTCAGCGTGCGCACTGCTTGGGGATAGAGTATGGATTCGAAGGTGATTTTTCAGAGCTACCGCGTTGGGCAGTGTACGAGTACAGACTGGACACTGGAAAGAACCTACTTCATGAGATTTCTTGTGATTAGCGAGGCTGGCGGCGTGCTTGTAGATCCTTCCACACTGTTCACACTCAAAACGACCGTTCTCTTCTTGCTGATAATGTGCTTTCATATGCTCTAGAAGACTTGGAGTACTCGGACAGACCATATCACATTCTTTACAGGGGAATCCCTTGGCACGACTCATATCATGCATTGCCATAGTACTCTGCACCGGCACAGTTGGAAGGAATCACGGTTCACAACATAGTAATGAACAGTGAAGGGGTGGGGGGGTGAGGGGGGAGGGGGGGAGACAATCCTCCTTTGCTCTTCAGCCAAGACCCGACTCCATTTTCTCCCAGGAAGGAGCTCCAGCCAATCACGGCCCGCCTTGGGCGGTGGCGATGGGCACAGCAGCCAATGAGGAATCACTGTGGAGGAAAGGAGGACAGGATTATTGGTTGGAAAGAGTTTTAATTCATCTTCATTTAATGCAGGAAACATTCAAACATTCAGTTCTGATGTGGAAATGATTAAAAGACAGTTTTAGGGTTTAGGGATGAACAATAGGCGGGGAATAAAAACACCTTTATGACAATATTCTGCTGTATGGGTTGTTATGGAAATAAGACTAATGATAAAAACATATTTAAAAGTAGGCATGTCCCAATAATCCTCTAGTTACTATACAGATATTACCCCTTTAAGAAATTACAGATATTGATTCGATACAATATAGGGATCAAATTATCTATACTTTTATTCTTTATTTTGTAGCGTAGAATATTAAAAAAAGGTTTAATAAATAGATTCTACTTAAAGAGACAAAAATAGAGCAATGAACTGACCCTCTGATTATAAACCAGACGATAGAAGCAGAGTGTTTTTATCAGCGAGGTTTTAGGTGCAGGCGTTATAAGGTCATATTTCTTTTTCTTTCTTTGCCTGAAATTGGACCGATAACAAATATCCATATTGGGAAGAAATTCTCTTCAGTTTTTTTGGTAACTCTGTTGGTTTTTGACTCCCTTTCCTTCATCAAAGCCCCAAAAACTTCTTCTGGATTTAGGCAAAGGTTTCAACATGACTCCAGCGTCACGACAAAATGTGATTCCGATCAGCGAAGCCGGGCTAACACTGTGCGATTTTTGCCCTTTTCGGGCCGACCTTCCAGTCGTGTGAGAGTTTTTTGATCATAACATATAAAAATGTGACAGGAAGTAATCTGTGAGATTAAGGTTCAGTAACTTCAACATTTAGATGAAGATGAAGGGAATGATGGTAGAATTTAAGAACTGGAATTAATCTGTTATTGCAGAAGAGATAAACTGAAAGCCGCAGATAATCTAAAAGAGAATCATCTGGAAAAAGGTCAGAGAATCAATTTTTAATGTGAAGCAGAGGAAAGATTCAAAATGAAAAGAAACACATGAAGATATCAGTCTGATTTTTCGCCATAAATCAATTCAGTTTATTTATAGAGCGCAAATTCACAACACATTTCCAGTTCACCAGATCATGGTTCAAAGTTTTCTATCTAAGGAAAACCAGCTGATTGCATCGACTCATTGACTCTTCAGCAATCCCTCACAGTTACGGTACTAAAAGTACACATTTCTATCCTTAAGTCACTAATGACTCAAGGATAATCGTCCAATATTCTTCTCTCTCACTGTGCAATAACACAACTACTGTGTAGTCTGTGTCATTTTTTACTTGCATACACTGATCAAACCGCAGGGTTTAAAAATTCACAGCTCACGATGTTTGTTCTCACGCTGTGCGACCCGATGCTGTGATACGATCTACCTGCTCACACTGTACGTCTAAAAACCAGGTGGGACTCAGCTCCGCAGTGAGATGGCGCTACTTGGACTCGTCTATCAGGAAGCCGAACTAGTAGAAGAGGAACATGAAGCTCACTAGAGTGAAACGCGCTGCCTTGGATATTTGGGCAATTTAGTGCTGAAAGCCCTTAAAAGAAAAGGAGACGACGTATTTGGACAAAGACATGGCTGAGCTAACATGGCTGCTACGGTCTGTCAGTTTGACAGAAAGAACTCCATTTCACTCATCTAATCAAGCTTCTGGATCAGGTCTAATCAAGCTTCTGGATCAGGTCTAATCAAGCTTCTGGATCAGATCTAATCAAGCTTCTGGATCAGATCTAATCAAGCTTCTGGATCAGGTCTAATCAAGCTTCTGGATCAGATCTAATCAAGCTTCCTGATCAGATCTAATCAAGCTTCTGGATCAGATCTAATCAAACATCTGGATCAGATCTAATCAAGCTTCTGGATCAGATCTAATCAAGCTTCTGGATTAGATCTAATCAAGCTTCTGGATCAGATCTAATCAAGCTTCTGGATCAGATCTATTCAAGCTTCTGGATCAGGTCTAATCAAGCTTTTGGATCAGGTCTATTCAAGCTTCTGGATCAGGTCTATTCAAGCTTCTGGATCAGATCTATTCAAGCTTCTGGATCAGGTCTAATCAAGCTTCTGGATCAGGTCTAATCAAGCTTCTGGATTAGATCTAATCAAGCTTCTGGATCAGATCTAATCAAGCTTCTGGATCAGATCTAATCAAGCTTCTGGATCAGATCTATTCAAGCTTCTGGATCAGATCTAATCAAGCTTCTGGATTAGATCTATTCAAGCTTCTGGATCAGGTCTAATCAAGCTTCTGGATCAGGTCTAATCAAGCTTCTGGATCAGATCTAATCAAGCTTCTGGATCAGGTCTAATCAAGCTTCTGGATCAGGTCTAATCAAGCTTCTGGATCAGATCTAACCAAGCTTCTGGATCAGATCTAATCAAGCTTCTGGATCAGATCTATTCAAGCTTCTGGATCAGATCTAATCAAGCTTCTGGATCAGATCTATTCAAGCTTCTGGATCAGGTCTAATCAAGCTTCTGGATCAGATCTAATCAAGCTTCTGGATCAGGTCTAATCAAGCTTCTGGATCAGGTCTAATCAAGCTTCTGGATTAGATCTAATCAAGCTTCTGGATTAGATCTAATCAAGCTTCTGGATCAGATCTAATCAAGCTTCTGGATCAGATCTATTCAAGCTTCTGGATCAGGTCTAATCAAGCTTCTGGATCAGGTCTAATCAAGCTTCTGGATTAGATCTAATCAAGCTTCTGGATCAGATCTAATCAAGCTTCTGGATCAGATCTATTCAAGCTTCTGGATCAGATCTATTCAAGCTTCTGGATCAGATCTAATCAAGCTTCTGGATCAGATCTAATCAAGCTTCTGGATCAGATCTAATCAAGCTTCTGGATCAGATCTAATCAAGCTTCTGGATCAGATCTAATCAAGCTTCTGGATCAGATCTAATCAAGCATCTGGATCAGATCTAATCAAGCTTCTAGATCAGAGGTTTCTCTGCTTTAGCACAGCTGATTCTGATGATTGCAGTTCATGAAAATCAGCTGCTGGAGCAGGAAACCTCCAAACCACAGGTCACAGATTAGCGGACCGCGGTCCGGATCAGGACCCAGCTGCTAGCTAATCCAGACTGCTGGAAGAACTGCGGTGAACTGGTGAAAGAAAAGTGAAATGGCGTGCTCAAAGATGACCCTGCACATTTAGAGGATGTTTGGCTCAACCTGCTGCTGTGAAGCAGGATTCTCCACCATGAACAGAATCAACAATAAATCTGGATCCAGGCTCAAAATGAGCTCCTTGATATGTGCTTGAGAATGGCTTAGTCTCTGGTTAAACCCAGGTTTAAAGCCTTGCAGGGCAGCCTAAAGCCCACTGCCAACATTAAGACAGAAACAAGAAAGAAAATAACAAACCATCGGTTCAGGGGTTTGAGAAAATATGGGAATCAGGAAATTCTCTATAAACCAAACTGAACGATTGTTTTTCTCTACTTCAAAATTCAGATTTTAAAATGGAAATTTTTTCTTTTTTTTCATTTAAAAAGTTAAACATGGACGCATAGACACCTTATTTTATTTCTGTTTTAAATTCTGTTTAAAGTAACAGATTATAATGAAAAATGTCTCTGGACCTTTACTGGTTGATGATTTTCTTCATTCTGAACCCAATGATTTTTAATTGGTCTAAAACCTCCAGGACCAACTATGGGGATGCTGGATCTGGATCTTCCACAGGGTCGACCTCAGATAGGTTCTGCATCAGGATTTGGATGATGATTAGGATCAGGATTAGGATCAGGTTCTGGATCATGATTAGGATCAGGATCGGGATGAGGTTCAGGATCTGGATCTGAATCAGGATCAGGATCATGATTAGGATCCAGTTCTGAATCAGGATCTGGAACAGGTTCTAGATCATGATTAGGATTCGGTTCAGGATCTGAATCATGATTAGGATCAGGATCTGGATCATGATTAGGATCAGGATCGGGATGAGGTTCAGGATCTGGATCTGAATCCGGATCAGGATCATGATTAGGATCCGGTTCTGAATCAGGATCTGGAACAGGTTCTAGATCTGGATCAGGTTCTGGATCATGATTAGGATTCGGTTCAGGATCTGGATCATGATTAGGATCTGGATATGAATCAGGATCTGGATCAGGTTCAGGATCTGGATCAGGTTAGAGTCTGAAGTAAATCTGCAGCCAATCACAGCTTCCCTTTCAGCTCATCATGTAAACAAACGGAGCCGTTCAGGGATGATCCGGTTCCGTTCACACACAGCCCAGCATGAGCCGCTTCTAAACGGGTCGTGGATGACCAGTCCTCCTAGGTAGAACATTGAGGCTCCGGGCAGACTCGGACCCAGCAGGCGCCCCTCCGCCGCCTGACCTTGGCCCGTCTTCTCCCTCTCGGCCTCGGCAGGAATAAATCGGGACAATCCGACCTTTCCTGCCGCGGACCCCCCCACTCTGAGCGTGGTGAGGAGCGCGGTGTTTCCGACATGATGCAGGACCCCACCTGCGGCCATCAGCCCACTCCCACAGAGACCCACGATCCTCTGAAATGGCTCTCAGCCGCGGCGGCGAGCCATTTTACCGCAGCTAGCGGGGTTAGCCCGCTTTTCCATCGGCAGCGCGGGCCCACCGGGTCCCGCAGAGCTCCGGGCCCCATTTCCACCGAACCATGGGGCCCCACCGTGGGCAAATCTCGCGGTAATTTCAGGATAAAGTAACGGGAATGGGGAGCAGGGGACGCGGAGGACTGATGCTCGGCCAAGCTAAGGGCTAGCCCCGGCTAACGGTTAGCATCCCCGCGGTGACAGAAAGAAACAAGTTAGAAAGAACCGAGCAGAAACACACTAACCGCCGCCCAGCGGGCCTAGGTGGCCCCTGGAGGCCCCCCGCCCTGCCGGAAAGCTCCTCTCCGGCTCCCCCGCTCATGAAGCCTCCTCCGCGGCAGCAGCTGTTAGCAGCGCAGCTAGCTCCGAGCTACACAAAGATCCAGACCGACACACCGCGGCCCCTTTCATGCAAAACATCGCCGCCTTTCCTCCGTTTTCCGCACAGAACTCACCCCCCGGTTGGCCTCCGCGCCGCCAGCGGAACGATGCACGACCCGGACCCGCAGCTGGTGCAGCTTTCACAGGCCAGACATGCTGATTTTCTCCCCTTCTCACCCTCCGACTTTTTTTTTTTTTTTTTGCTGTGCTCCCCCGCCGCCGCTTCAGCAGCACACTTCCTGCCGCTGACGCGCGCGACGAGCGACGCGGTGCGGTGCGCGCGTGCCGCGGCTCTTCTGTAGCAGCTGGAACTGAATAAAAACCCTATTAGCAGCTAAATCTACAAACACCCAGAATCACAAAACTGATTCTAACAGAAATAATTCATGACAATAAATAAACTAATTAAATATAACCGCTTCTTACAGAGAGAGAAAATATGGAGGGAAACGACATAAAAGTAAATATATGAAGATTTAAGCTGCACACACAAGAAAAAAAGCATATGGATGAAAAACATTGACATAAAAAAACAAATCAGCAGCAGAAGGATCAATAAGCTGCAGGAAACTAGAAGGTTTCATTTTTATAGTTTTAAACACATTCAAGTTCAAACTAATCAGGAAACACAAGAAAGACTTAGTTTTATTTATTGTCTTTTTTGAAAAATACAGAAAACAACAAACTCCCCACAGACAGGCTGCAGCAAGGAGTCAAACTCTGGACGTTGGTTCTGTACGGCTGTCATGATGATAATCTGATATCTGAGAAGACGGTACTGCTGCTGAAGCTCCTCAGAGACGTTATTAGCATTAGCAGTGAGAAACAGAAGCGAAACTTTCTGAAGGATTGGGGGAAACAGTCCCAACCAATGCTTTACTGTTAAAATTCTTTGCCTCTCAGAGGACCATGGCTCTCAGTTACAGGTTAAAATGAACGCAGGTTTTCTTATTGAACAGACAGAATCAGGCTGCAGAGATTCTGCATCACTTGGAATTTAGTTCCTGGCATCATTATATTAGTGAAGAGGTTCATAAATCTTTTTAAACAGAGAGAAGCAGGGAGAGCTGCAGATTTAAAGGGGAAACTGATTTACTGGGAAATGCAACACGTAATAAAATATATCTCCAAGTTTACCAGAAAATTTACAAGAAAAAATATGCATTAAAAATGCATCAAATCCAGATTTTTCTGGATGGATGGAATTGAAATTGTTCTTCTGGGGATGCATGATTTATTGATTTTGGCATCAGAATCGGCTTTTATTTGTTATCTTTTTATAACAATGTTTTTGGGCCCTTTATATATATAACGCAGTAAAAGGCGTCTCTCTAACATCTATAAATCTAAATATCAGAATATTCTGGTTCTCTTTTGTTCTCAGCAATAAAAAAGCATTTAATTAATAGATGTTTGAGCTCATTTTAGGAAAATATATATAAACCTAATGAAAGCATTCGGGTGGAGTAACTGTAGGTCCACCAGCCCCCACCCTTTAGATCGCCCCCACCTACTTTCATGGTGAAAAGTGAATGAGAGTTTTTGGCACTGGATGATTTAAATAATTTTAACACCTAATTATAAATTACATCCCAAAAACTTTAATTTAGTTGAATGTTGCCTCAGTAATGTTCAATTTCCTAAACTTCATATTTGATTTTCAATTTACTATTGAAAAAGCTTTTTTTTTATTGCCGTTTTGCAAATTAAAAGTATTTTTGTTGTTGAATATAAGAGATTTTCAGATCTATTTCTGCAGAAGTTAAACAGGAAGGTTAATGTACTTTAAGTCAATTTAAGTGTAATTAGGGGAGGCGGGGGGGTCTGAATAATAATTTTTATTTCTTCCTTTTCAGATTTTCTCCATGAATGGAAGTCATTTCTCCGTTTATACTAACAGGTTTATCTGGTCGCAGGTTTGGTTTCTATTTCTGTTCAGGTACATTTAGTTAGTTTGGTTGATGATAACTAGTCTCTTTTGTGTTTATTTGGTTGATTCATTTATTGTCGTTTGTCAAAATTGTCTGAAATAAATTCCTATTCTTCCTTTTATATCATTACATTTGCTTTTATTAGTTCCTGCTGCCGCTGGTTGTCTCCTTTATTCCACTCTGGATTCTCATGAGTCTTTGTTCACTTTACAATAAATAAAATATTAAAACAGCAGTGAGAAGTTCGGTATTCATTCTTTTCCTGCTTTGTGTCAACTGTCCCGGTTGCTAGGCAACAGAGCATACAGCGGTGAAAGCTGCAGAAGGCTGGACCGGTTTGAATCCACAGCCAAAACTCTTCTGGTCTCCTGATTTTCACGGACCTGAAAGAATCTGGTCCAGGTGGACCGGGTTCTTGGAAATCCATTTTAATGCTGGTATATTCACCAAAAACAGAATAAAAAAATGCAGCAAAAAAAAAAACAAAAAAAACCCAATACACAACAAATAGAAAGGATTAATTACAATGTTTGCTGATTTATGAATTTGTTTTTTGGGTTTTCTATGGGAGAGTTTGTCTCTGCCGTCGCCTACAGTTTCCTCTAAAGATAAACAGCTCAAACCGTTTAATGTACAGATTACATAGAGCTGTGAATTAATTTAAAGTCCACCAATGTAGAAATATGAGCATAGTTTTACCAGCAAGGACCCAAATTAAAATCTGGTCCATCTTTAATTCAGTTCTATTCAGTTTATTTCTATAGCTCCAATTCACATCATGTCATCTCAGGTCACTTTCTAGTCAGATTGAAACAGGACTACACTGGAAAACAGGCCAAGCTCCAACATCTAGAAACAAAGGTGTTGATGGCAGCAGCACAGCTGATATTTCTCTCCAGGATGGAGTCACAGCCAAACAGGAACAGACCAGATGAAGCTACTATGAGAAAAAGCAGAGAGAGCAGAACGTTAGAGATTGAACTAATAGATTCTGCAGAGTGGGAGAATAGAGATAGAATGAAGCAGAATGATGAAAAAGGGGTCCCTATGTCCTCCAGCAGTCTAAGCCTATAGCAGCAGAACTATAGAGATAGCTCAGGACCATAAAGGAAAAGTCCAGTCAGCAGCAATAATCTACAGATCTTTATACCTAAAATTACTAAGTTTGTGGTGATTTAATGAATTTAGTGTTAAATAGTAAAATAATAATTTTCATCGCGATCACCAAGTCTGGGAGTGGCTATTTTTGCCCAAATATAGTAGCCCCTCCCTCCTGCCATCTTCCAGCAGTGACGTCACGGTGCGGTAAGCCTAGCGCCATTCTCCCCGCTTTACAAGCTAAATCAATGGGAACTACTAGACACATCTGCAATCAACAACAATTATTGAAGATTTCCAGAGGACTTCACCATTGAAATTCACCAGAGCTATAGTGAAACTGACAATGCCCACGTGCATGGCAGCTGGATGCTGGAATACATCGGATAAAAGTGGGAAAAAAAAAAAAAAAAAGAGTTATTCCACCTTTCTGATTCCTGATCCTCCACGGACGGGTTGGTCGTTGGATCGCCAACTTGAAGAGGGAGGATTTGCCATCGAACTTCTGGCCAGAGAAAAAACCCGTAATATGTAGCCAACATTTGGAAGAAGAATGTTTTCAAGATGACTTGGATAATAGCGCGTTGTGACAAACACCAGATACAGCACTGGGACTTGATCAACAGCCGATACCGCACCGTGACGTCACTAACCAGTAGGTGGCAGTAGTGTTCTTTGACAAACATGGATGCCTCCAGTAAAGCACATTCACATGAAAATTACTCTGAATTAAAAACACTGATCATTTATTGAACAGGATGGAATCATTTCAGATTTAAAGGGATAGTTCGGTATTTTTGACATGAATCTGTATGGCATCCCCATCACCAGTGTCATGCAATCACACTGACTTACCCCTGGCAGCGTCCTGTGAGCAGAGTTATCGTCCAGTTTTGGTCAAGCCGAAAGTAGTCCGGCAGGTTTTTAGGACCAGCGAAATAAAACGTTTCTCTTCCCAAAACATTATGTGTTCAAAAGAGTGATATTTTTGCATCCCAAAAACATTGTAGTGGAAAAAGTCACACGTCGTTATCAATTGGTCCTATTTTCTCTCTGTTCGTATCAGTGCGCGCCGTCATTCAGACAGCTAGGGCCTACTAACCTGACAACAGCCAGATGCATGTCTCCCTCCGCCTAGCTCCTAGCTGAACACATGTTTTGGGAAGAGAAAAGTTTTATTTCGCTGATCCTAAAAACTTGCCGGACTACTTTCGGCTTGACCAAAACTGGACGATAACTCTGCTCACAGGACGCTGCCAGGGGTAAGTCAGTGTGATTGCATGCCACTGGTGATGGGGATGCCATACAGATTCATGTCAAAAATACCGAACTATCCCTTTAAAGAACTTTCAGAAGTTTGGATTCTGAATATGAGCAACTTTTCCTTTAAATGTTTTGTCTGCAGGAAAACTGGGTTTGTCACATTTTTAGTTCTGCAGAAGCAGAGGTCCTGGGTCGGATCCTGGAGGGATTCCCGCTCCAACGCTCCAGGCCAGCGAATCTCTCCAGGACCAGACTTCAGCGTTGCTGCGTGCAGAACGACCTCCAGCTCAGAGGGAGCGGCTCTAAACCTGCAGCTCTGGATTAAACCGCCCAGCAGCTTTAGAAACATCCCAGTTAGTCTGGGCTGGATGCAGAGTTCTGCTGCAGGTCAGATCAGGACCCATTTGGACCTTGGTGTTTTTTGATCTGCAGCTGCTCCCGGATCAGATTCATCATCAGAACAAGCAGCAGGAGGTTCAGTACAATATAGACTTTATTAGTTCACTAAACTTTAATATGAAATCCAAAGCAGATCGGCTTTAAATCATTAACAATTCAGCAATCATCGAGTTTCCAGGTCACCATGTCAACACAGGAAGTCCTTCATCCTGCAGATGATGCATCTTTACAAAATAAGAGCAGGAAACAGACTTTCAGCGTGAATCATCGGGCTGAAAGCGGTCGGAGCAGCTGACGGACGCAGCAGGAGACGCGCCTCGAGCCGTGAGGTTACAAAAAGAAAAAAAAACAGGAGCCACCGTGGTTGGACAGCAGGAGGCGCCAGAGTTCAGCTTCCAATCAGAGTCCAGAAGAAGAGCGAAATCACCAGAACTGCTCGGGGAATGTTTCATATCATTTTATTGTTTTTAACTTTATTTACTCATCATAGCAATGGAAAAATAGAACCTTTTACAAACGTCTTCAATTTTCTGAAATCTTTGAAACAAGCAAAAACGGTGAGTGACCCGTTCCCAACCCAAGTTCAGCGGGGAAGCCGACGTGAAGCAGCCGCAGGCCTTCAGCTAAAACTACTCCCATTTGGCACTCGCTCCGCAGCACCGAGCTTTTACTCTGAAGGGCTCCAGTGCTGCTGTTGCCAGGTAAGAGCGCGGAACGCCGGAGCCGCTCGGCCGGCGCGTCTCCGTTTTAGTGCTCAGAAGAAGAAAAGTAAGAGCAACAAAAATCAAAAGTTTTCCACAGAAGAAGTCCACAGTCGCTCGTTAATCTGATTCCACAAAAGTCTGTAAGTTTCTCTCCCCCTCCTCCCCTCCTCCCCCAAGCGTTGGGGGCGGAGGCGGGTCTGTGACGTCATCGTGATGTCAGAGGAGGGGCCAGCTATATGGCGAGAGGGCGAAGGAGGGGCTCGCTTCTTTAAGGGGGTTCAGAGTCCACAGGCCGTCCAGGAGGAAGAGGAGGAGGAGGGGGGGGTCGCCAGCTGGAACTGAAGGTGGTGTGATGTCATCATCTCTCGCGCTCACACAGACACTCATCTCACTTCATCTCACGTCACTTCTTCTGCTTCAGCCAACGCTGCGACAAACACAGAAGAGTTCATTCCAGACGATTCCACGTCGCTCCGATCCGGACCGGACCGCACACATCTGTGGAGCAGAACCGCCGCCATCATCATCAGTTTCTGATCCTGCGCTCTGATTCTACACCTCTACAGTTAAATCCGTAAGAATCAAAGATCCAAATGGATTTAAAAACTAAATCTAAGCTTCATATTTACTAGGATGAAGCAATAATTCCAGACAAATATTAAATATAAACTCCGTCCATTTATAAAAGTTAACCCCTTTAGCCCAGAAGGTCCTGAAATTACATGTGAATTAAATCAAGTTCAGCTCCTAAACTATAAATTGGAAAAACAATAATCTGTATTTGTGTGACAGGAAGTTAATGAGGAATATTTTTCAGGTGGAAAAACTATTTTAAATTTCACCATGTCTGATTTATAGGTGATTAAACAAAGAATTAAAAATGTTTTAGCCATGTCATTTTCATTTCCAAAATAAACAGAGCAGCATGGAACCAGTGGAGCCACTAGGGGGCAGTGCTAACTAGCTTAGCATTTCCTCCCATTCAGCACAGCCAATAAACCAAGATCTGAGGAGCCGTTTACCATAACCCTGAAATTATGGCTTCTAGTTTCAGCTGCCACCCCAAGATTTTTAGTAGCCCCATCTGCTTCACGTCTGAACCACAGAACCCAGCTGTGGTTCTGATGCTGCAGGTTCTGAGCCCGTTTGGACCCAGCAGAAGCTCAGGGTTTGATCTCCTCACCAGGCTTGGCTCTTGAGCTTCCGCAGCTCCTTGGTGGCCCAAGTGGCCAGTGTCTTGGTCTTGACGATTTTGGAACGCCTGCCCTCCGTCAGAAGGTCGTTGATGAGCGGACGCATCTCCACCAGCTTCATCATGTCTTTGCCGAAGGCGGTGCACAGGTCCCTGCGGACACACAGGCACACGGTCGAAGGTGCGGCTTGAACCGGCGGCTCCGGGCTGCGGGGGCCCCGGGCCGCTGGTCTCAGAAGCTGTGGTTGGGTTCTGCATCACGCTGTCAGAGTGGTGCATGGTTTCTCCTCACGGACCAAACGGAACGCGAAGCGGGGCGGTGCTTACCCGATGAGCCCGGCGGCGTTGGCCACCACGCCGTCAGAGTGGTCCTCGTCCTCGGCGATGTGGTGGATGAAGGAGAGGATGAACTCCACGCGGGGCTGGACCAGCATCACATCAGCTGCAGGAGGAGAAACGGAGAAGATCAGGAGAGGAAGGGGGCGGGGCCTAACACAGCTCTACATCCTTTTGTTGGGTCCCGCAAAACCAGGAGCGGCTTTGATTCCGGCCGAAGCCTGAAGCCTCCTGGGTGAAAAAGACCCGAGTTTCTCTGCGACGTCGTAAAATCCTCCCGTCAGTCTTCAGACGGGAGGAGGAACCGACGTCGGCGCCGTTCAGACAGGAAGTGTGTGTCTTACGGTGGACGTTCTCCTGGTCTCCCTTCAGGCCCTGGATGATGCCGGTGTAGGCCTCCAGGCAGCCCTCCCTCAGCTCGTTCAGGTAGTCCACCATGTCGTAGTCCGTCTGGAAGAAAACCGCCGCGTCTGAGTCTAACATCACAAACATCACATCCACCTCGCCACCTGCCTGATGATCAAAACCTGCAACGCCAGGTGGTGGGCGTGGCCAAACAAGACGCAGCAGCACGGCTGATGCTGCTTAAGGCCTGGTTATCCTCCCGCAGCAGCGTGTCGCAGATATTATCGATTTATGCCCAATTTTAAAGCGTGGTCTGCGCTACGTTATTCCACGCCACAACGCCAGAGGGCCAATCAGGAACTAGCGAGGATTAGCTAGGACACGCAGACGACCTGGTTTCTGAGCATAAACCAGGCGTTAGCATTTCTAGCAGATAATGATGTTTAACACTAGAACTCCCAACACCGTCATTTTGATGGCTCAGATTTTAAACGGAAACAGCTTTATCATTATTCACATGTTGCTCATATTAACTGACTTTTCCTGTTTTTATGTTTCTTCATTTTCACCTAGTTTTTTTTTATAAATATAACCAATAAATATGGTTAATTTTACCTCGATCTCTAAAAGAGTTCAAGGGTAAAATCATAACGTCTCTGGCATGATGTCAGAGACGTTACGCTACATGATTGGCTGAACGTTGCCACATGATGTAAAACACTGTGGTTGCCGAGACAACGATATCACACACCGTCCGTGTGCAGAGTCGCGAGCATCTGTAGCGTTAGCGTCTCTAATGAGCGATTAAATTTGACCTGATTAATAAGAAAACTGAATAAAAATTGTTTAAGGTGAACAAGGTAAATGTGATACAAAGCTAGCTATGGCTAGCTGTGCTAGGTAGCTAACAGATTAGCTTTTTAGCTCGCTCAGTTAGCCATATTAAGCTACACTTTTAAATTGGTATCAACTGTTCGTTTTCTACAAGTAGAATAACTGATCAGTCTAAAATCTCTAGGAAAGTAATTTTTAAGATGTTCCATTTGTCCTTTGACCTCCGACCTTAATAAAAAGAATAAAAATAAACTGAGACTTTTTTTTTCAGGAAAGCTAGGTCTAAGTAGGCAAGACTTGAATGACATGATTGTTTTCTTCGGCTACTTTAGATCGCCAATGAAATGTAAAATGGCAGCAAATATCTGTAATAATATGTTGAGACTCCAGAAGAGATTTGATTCCTAAGAAACGGGAGCGATAGAGTTTGAATGGAGTTGCCATATGATGACCTCTTGAGAAGAGGCGGGGCCACAGCAGATCTGGTACCTACACCGTCATTTGCACGGCTCCATTAGATGCATTGTAATTTCTTCCCATGGTTGATTGATGTTTGGTACCGTTGCCTAGCAACCAACATCTACCTAGAACTGTTTGGCTAATAGGGAAAAAAATGGCTTTCAGAAGAAATCCACGAAACAAGATTTAGAAAAGCTTCAAAATATTGATGATAGAGATTCGGGAGGAGAGGGGGAGACCGATGAGGAGGAAGCGGCTCAGATTCTGACAGCGAGTCTGAGGACGATCATCCATCCCCGGGAAAAGGCGGCATATCAGTGACCCATCAGGCAATAGTAGAACTTTTGTTTAATTCTTGGATAGCTCTGCCTCAGCGGCCTAAAGCCAAACCAGAGCGCCTGGTCTAATCACTAAAGCTCAGCGTGGATGTGTCGGATCAAATTATTTCAGTGTTCAGTAAAAGCTCCGAGGCGAAGGACGGTAGCTGTGATTGGTCCTTGGCCCGCCTTTCCGGCCGTCTGTGTGGTCGTCCTTCTCGATTCAGTGCCGGGGCGCGCCATTTTTAAAAACAGAGGAAAATCTGTCATAAATGTGAAAAGGTGGTCTGCAGGAAATGTTCGGGGGAATCAATTAAGTTCTCTAAATAAAATTGTAATTTTAAACTTTGAACCTGTGTATTAAAGGATTGATTTAGAATACAAATTTAGACCAGACGTATTAACATCATACAGTACAGCCTTCTAAGATCATATAAAACCTGTTTTAAAGTTTACATTTCCACAATGGGTTTATATATCACACTAGAAGCCTTTCAGGTGATGACATCATCACTGCTCATGCTTTCAGTGGGTAAAATGTCCCCTGTCAAACTGACGGCAGGTGGGAGTTCTAGTAGGATCAGAGTTCTGGGAGTTCTGGTGTTAAACGTCTGAGCGACCGCCTGCTAATCCTTATTTTGTCTTGTTGATGTAAACTCAAACCCATGACTCATCCTGTTTCAGGCAAAGATCCACGTTTAGAGCGAAAATGAAATAATTTCGTCGTTGTCGATAGAAAGACAGGCCGTCCGCTGGAGCTGCCGGGCTTACCTTGTCCACCTGGGCCTGGGAGGCCTGCTGCAGCGTGTCCAGGACGATGTCCAGGTACTTCTTAAACTCTCCTCCGATGGCCAGAGCGATGTCTCCGAACGCAGAGAGGATCTGAGGCTTCACCGAGCGGTGGACGTTCTCGTTCTGAAAACGCAGAGAGGGAGACGGAATGACCCAGGTTCTACAGAACACAGGTCCCAGTGGACCAGGAGGAAACCCAGCAGGTTCTGATGCGTCCAAACTGGTTCCCACAGGTCTCAGATAAACGTGGTGGTTTTACATCACGGTCAGAGTGGTGCATGGTTTATCATCACAGACCTAAACCCAGACAGGTTCTGGTGCTGCTCACCCCAAGGTTCTCCAGGAGAAGCTGCATGATCTCGTCACAGTAAGGCAGGATGTTGGTCTGGAGCGCTCTGCAGAGGTCGCACACCAGGCCCACGGCGGCAAGACACACCTGCAGACAGTTAGCACGTCCAATCAGAGCAGAAAACGCGCTTTGCTACTTTCTGTAGTAACATTTCCTAAAACCGTTCTGAGGCTGCAGAATTAAACCGAATCAGAACCTCTGGGCTCCGGTTCTGTCAGGCTGAACCGATTTAGAAGCGTCCAGGACCCACTGGTTCTGGATCAGCGGTGTAAAAACCTAACAGCTAAATTACATAAACACACTGCAATAAAATATAATAATGAACATAAAATAGAATAAAATAAGATAATTTTTTCCTTTTTTATTTTTAACGGCACTAGTGGCTCGTTTTCTGGCAGCAGGCTGACAGGAAAGAGGGAATGAGAGAGAGGGAGAAACCTCGATAATCACATTTAATTAATTTTAATGCCAATTTTAGCCTATATTTAAAAAAATAATAATCTAACGCCTTTTAATGACGGGTGGAGACCGCGTACCTGGTACTCGGCGTAGTTCTTCAGTCCGATGGCCAGGAAAGGTTTGAAGGCATCCATGTATTTCTGGAAGTCACTCCCCAGAACTGAAACGAGCAGCAGAGACACTGTGAGCTCCACCGGAACCCGACGGCGCGGCGTGGCGGCGCGACGGGTCGGTACCTTCCACCAGCGTGGACACGGCCATCAGGGCGTCCTCCTGCACGCCGCCGGAACCTGCCGTGCTCTGGAACATCCTCAGGAGAGACGCCATCACTACATCAGAGATCTGCAGGGCGTCCTGGTGCTGAACCTTCCGGAGAACATTCTGCAGGGAAACAGGAAACGCTCAGCAGGCCCTTCACAATAAGAGCCCGGCTGCAGGTGCGACGCCTCACCTGCAGAGTGGCGCAGAGCAGCGACTGCAGGTCGTTGAACTGGATCCTGTCTGAGGTGCTCTGGATGTGGGACTGCAGACAGGAAGACGGCGTTAGCGTGTTTTCCTTTCACAATAAAAGCTCTGCAGGCGGGAGACTCACCTCCATCTGCAGGACCTGCTGCAGCCGCTCCATGATCACCAGCGTGGTCTTCTGGACTGCAGGGTAGCAGTCTTTGGCGCTATTCTTCACAATCTCCATCAGAGCCTCGTAGGCGGCAGAACGCAGGTTGTTCTGGTGGCCGTCGGGCCTGAGTGGACCGGAACCGGACAGAGGGACAGCTTAGCGGAGCGGTTCTAAAACCACCATCAGCCTAGCTGCTGTGGTGACGGCCTTCAGTGGGTCTCCATGGAGACGCTGACACCGAAGCTCTGAGCCCAACGGTTCTGATGGGTTCTACTATTAAGATCTCAGTCCGTTCCTTCAGAACCAGGGGTCCAGCAGAGTTCTCCTACCTGTCGGTGGTCTCCAGGAGCTTCTGGACGATGATCTCGAAGGAGGAGGACAGGCAGTAGGTGCTTGGCTCCTCCTGGTCCTCTGCAGCGTCCGTGGCTTCGTATGCTGCCTCAGCCAGAGATGAGAAGGCCTGGTGGGGAACAGAACAAAGGGTTTGGGTCAGAGCGGGTTCAGGCACTGGTCCGGAGACTGGAGCAGAGCCACCGTCCTTCCCATCAAAAACATTCAAACCATCTGAACGTCTATATTGGGAACGTTGTTGGTCATCAATACTAACAGGATGAGACCAAATAGCGAAGTTCAGTTTATCTTTCTGGGTTTTTTTCTTTTTCTCTCCCGTCTGAAAATACAGCAACGTCATGTGGTGGAGCCTCTGATTGGTTAATGTGGTGCAGCTAAAGATAGATGGCCGCTCACACTGAGCCTGGTTCTGCTGGAGGTTTCTTCCTGTTCAAAGGGAGTTTTTCCTCTCCACTGTCGCTACAAGCATGCTTAGTGTGAGGGATTGCTGAAGAGTCAATGAGTCGATGCTATCAGCTGGTTTTCCTCAGATAGAAAACTTTGAATCAATCTGACTGGATGATCTGGTGAACTGGAAAGTGACCTGAGATGACATGATGTGAATTGGAGCTATAGAAATAAACTGAATAGAATTAAAGTTCAATAATTCCAATTACAGCTGCTGCTGCTGCAGTCAGAGCGTAGCATTAGCCCGACCCAGCGGCGGGCTTCAGGAGGAAACTAAACTAGAGATTAGCATCCGGCTATAAATGACAGGCAGAGGATCTCAGACCCAGACCGGTCCGGATCCA